AAAACTAGATGTGTGAACAGTTTTAAGAAAATTGCCTTGTTAGAGATTAATCTTATTAAAAAGCATTGGTAACTAAAATATATAGTAGTAAACAAAAAATACACAAAAATATCAGTGAAAAAGAAAAGAAGTCTTGATAATGGATTCAAGCATATGTAAAAATAAAATTCATATAGGAAAAGAGGAAACTCATTGATTTCAAACTATATTACAAAGCTATAGTAATCAAAACTGACATAAAAACAGATATATAGATCAATGGAACCGAATAGAGAGCCCAGAAATAATCCCACACGTATATGGTCAATTAATTTACAACAAAGGAATTAAGAACATATGATAGGGAAATGACAGTCTCTTGAACCAATGGTGTTGGGAAAACTGGACAGATACATGCAAACAAATGAAATTGGACCACTATTTTACACCATACACAAACATTAACTCAAAATATATTAAAGACTTGAATGTAAGACCTTAAACCATAAAGCCCTCAGAAGTAAACATAGGCAGGAAGCTCGTGACATGGGTCTTGGCTATGATTTTGTGGATCTGATACCAAAAGCAAAGGCGACAAAAGTAAAAACAAACAAATGAGACTACAGTAAACTAAAAAGCTTCTGCACAGCAAAGGAAACCATCAAAAAAATGAAAATGCAACCTATTAAATAGGGAAAAAAATTTGTCAAACATATATCTGATAAACAGTCAATATCTAAAATATATAAAGAATTAAAACAACTCAGTAGCAAAAACGAAACAAAACAAAACAATTCAACTAAAAATGGGCAGAAGATCTGCTGAATAGACATCTTTCCAGAGAAGATATACAGATGGCCAATATCACTAATCATCAGGGAAATGCAAATCAAAACCACACTGAGCTATCATTTTATGCCTGTTAGAATGGCTATTATTAAAAAGACAAGATGAGCTGCTCTAAGAAGGGAGCCCCAAATTTAATTAAAGCCTTAAGCACAATTAATTAAAAGTGAAATGTAACTGTACACGCAGTTAGTCATCCACCATAGGGCGTGGTTAATAAAAGCAACCTTTCTTTCCCCCCTAGTGATTTTGTGAAGACCCCTTTTCTCTTATAGCTTGCTTAAATATTCCAAATTTAAAAAAACTTAAGGTGGCCTACAGAAAGAGAAAAAAAGGCCACAAAAGCTCTCTCTCTCTCTCTAAGTAAATGAAATAACAGCAGCCAACAGAAATAAATGAAATAAATATTGTCTTGTGCAGCATTAAGAAAATCAAAATCAAAATTAAATGTGAGCAATAAATCTATAAATTAATTAATTTAAAAAAATAAAAAGACAAGAAATAACAAGTGTTGGTGAGGACGTGGAGAAGTAGGAAACCTTGCACACTGTCGGTGAGAATGTAAATTGGTGCAGCCACTATGGAAAACATTATGGAGTTTCCTTAAAAAATTAAAAATAGAACTACCATATAATCCAGCAATTTCACTTCTGGGTATATATCTAAAGAAAACAAAAATACTAACTTGAAAATATAATGCACTCCCATGCTCGTTGCAGCATTATTTACAATAGTCAAGATACAGAAACAATTTAGATGTCTATCAATGGATGAATGGATAAAGATATTGTGATACACACACACACACACACAACACAATGGAATATTATTGTTTAAAAATAAAGAATGAAATCCTGCCATTTGTGACATCACGGGTGGATTTAGAGAGTACTATGCTAAGTGAAATAAGTCAGAGAAAGACAAATACCATATGATTTCACTTTATGTGGAATCTAAAAAACAAAACAAATGAACAAATAAATACAAAACAGAAACTGTCTCATAGACACAGAGAACAAACTGATGGTTGCCAGAGGAGAAGGGGTTGGGGGGAAGGGCAAAAAAGGTGAAGGAGTATAAGAAGTACAGATTTCCAGTTATAAAAATAAGTCATGAGGATGTGATGTACAGCATAGGAAATACAGTCAATAATACCGTGATACTACTGTAAGATGACAGATGGTTACTAGACAAAGCATGGTGATCACGCCATTAGGTATATCAATATTGAGTAACTATGTTGTGCACCTGAAACTAATACAATATTGTATATTGACCATATTTTAATACTCTATGCATCAGCTCAACAAAATGGATTTCTCTCTCACTGAAGGAGAACTGGCTACTTCCATGGCTAAATGCTCACTTCACCACAGCAGCAGCTAATCCTGGTCCTTGCCGTGCCGTATAATCTGGAGCAGGTCACAATTTGTTCTTAGTGGAAAGATACATTGGGTTTGCTTTCCCTGTTCAGGAAATGTCTCTCAACATGACCATCCATGAACTTACTGACTGGTTTATTTCTAATCAGATTTTGCACATATTTTCTAAACAATTAAATTATCTTTCAGCAAAAGAAATAAAGCCATCAGACAATGCTCCTGGGTAACTCGTCTTATTGTGAATCCCATTACCAGAAACAGCTGACTTTATGGATAGCAGAATGGCACATTAAACACTGCTATGGTCTCAGATCATACCTGGCAAGTGTGTGTGTATAAGAGAGAGAGGGAACAAGATGTATATTCTCAGAACAAAACACTAATATATGATATTATTTCTCCTATAATCAGAATAAGGGTTCAGGAACCAAGGGACAGGACTGGATAGGCTTCCTGTTAATATTATGCCTAAAGTTTTGGACTATGCTGGTTTAGAGTTTTCAATACCCAACTAAGAACTCTTCCATTAAAGAACCCAGTGATTATTACATTTAATGGGAAACTGATGTTATGAGGCAGTTTAGAATTTTTCATGCCACTGAATAAGCAGGCATCGCACTTTGGTAATTATATTAAAAATTTTAGTTCATGGTTACAAAATATCAACAGAATTGCAGCACAACTTCAGGAGGAATAGCCATATTAGACTTGGAGCTGCCCCAGTGAGTAGGTTTGGGTTTTCTTCCTTTGGGGAGCTGAGAACTATATTCCCGGGTGCTTGAGGCATAACTGAACTATATTCCGCAAGAAATGGGGAGAAAAGAAAGTATGTGGAAAAATGCGTTATTAATGTTGGGCATTCAAAGGAGCAAATTATAGTAGGGATTTTTTAAATTTTTAAATTTTTTATTTTTGGCTGAGCAGATAATTATGGTCTCTGTTTAGAAAATTCTTTGCCTTAGAAAGCTCTGTGATACTTGGCTACATGGGCCAAGGAGACCTACCCTCCTGGATTTTGCAACTAGAAGTATTAACGCAGAGAAACAGGACTGTGGGGCATTTTTGTGGCAGTAATAGCAGACACAGTTCTCAGAGGCAGCTGTGGTACTTATGCTGGTGACAGCACCTGGAGTCCAGTGACATCAGTGTCAAAGACAGTGTGTGAAAGTGATGTGGCATTCAGTGTCTAGCAGTGGTGGCAGCAGTATCTGCACAGTTAGTTCTGTGGCATGATTTTGGCTGTGTAGTCTTGGTTTGTTCTGCCCATTTTCTGAGTCTGTCTCTATGCTTTCTGGCCATTAAGTGGGTCACAGAATCCTTAAGAATTTCCTGGTTCAGGAAACTTTGAATCTTCCTCAGGAGCCAGAATGAGCTTAGAGAGGAAAAATAGTCTTTTAATGACTTGTATTCTTTATAGACTTTTACTAATAAGTAATGTGATTCCTAACCTCAAAATGTTATAGTTTAATAAGGAATATAAGATATTTAGATGAAATAAATATCTATAAGATGGAATAAAATCAAATGCTAACTTGGGAACAGACTGTGTCTTTTGTAAAGTCTTCCTAAAAGATATGAGACTATAGTTAATTCCTGAAGGATGGGCAGATGGTATTTTGGAAATGGGGACCATATAGCATAGGAAGGAGACCCTATATTCCCTGGGCAGGGAGACCAGGCTGACTGAAGAAGTATGGATATGAACTGAAACCAATAAGCGGTACATTTGAATGGTTAAGAAGGAACCTTGTCTTCTAATCAGAAATAGAGAAATTCTCTATTTCTTCAAATGTCTTAAATATACCTTTGACTTTTTTTTTGAAGTTAAAAAAGTAAAACATTGGCCAAAAATTTTTGCCAGGAAAAGTTTTAGAAATCAAGTCTGAATTAGCCTCCCCATTGGCTACGTAAAAACTTCTTAGACGTACTTTCCAGGGCCTATGAGATGAAAGAGCTCGGCCTAGGGGCGTAAAACCTGAAGATAGTTACAAAATATATCAATTTGCATTCAATATTTCCATTTTTTGTGGATTTTTTTTTAAAGTAATAAGCAGTGAACAACTAAAGAATTACAGCATTGCAATGGCAGCGCACAGAATGAAGTTTATTTCTTGGTGGCAATGTCCACTCCTGCTCATTGCCCGCAGCTCCTTGTAACCGTTTTGCTGGTTAACTTCAGGAAGACTTCCTGGAGTAAAATTACATTTGAAAGTGGCTGAAAATAGTTTTTAAATCCAACCTCTCTGGCTTGACAACGAAATGACCACACAGTCGTCACTAGGTCAAAAAATCAATTACAAAACAAGATATTTTCATGTCTCTTATTTTTATTTATTTTTGCATTAGCCTCAGTAAAAGACAGGCTCAAAAACCACAACCAAGAAGAAAGGCAACCATTAAAATACAGGAAATACTGTATTGACTTTCTCTTGGCAGGATGGGTCGGCTGCCTTCCAGCCCCACCGCGGATCCGCTGAAGTTGCTGGTTCGCTCTGACGCTAGTGGCCAGACCCCCACCGCTACGGAAACCCTCGCTCGGCAGCGCCGAGCTAGATCGGTGCCAGGACGCCCTCCTCCTACCTTCGAGGGGACAGCGTCCCTCTCCTGCCCCGAGCCGGAGTCCGTCTCATTCCTGCGTCTCCCGCAGGCCCGGGGCCAGGTGGGGATGAACCGCGGCCCCGCGCTCGGCCCAGCAGTTCCGCGTCTGCGCAGCGGGCGAGGGGCTGGAGCGGGGCCGGCCGGGGAGGTGCAGGAGGCGCGGGAGCCAATGGGCACGCTCCGGGGAGCCGGGCTGGCGGCTGCGGCCCGCGGGCGCGCACTCTCGGGATGGAGGGCGAGCGCCGGGCATCTCCCGAGCGCTCCTCTGGCCTCCCGGCCCGGGGCGCCGACGGCGAGAGCCCGGGGGGCGGCGGCCCCCTCCTGCGCAGCCGCGGCTCCTCCGCCCTGCTGCAGGTCGACGTGCTGGACCTGGACGAGGACGAGGACGACCTGGAGGTGTTCAGTAAGGTGAGGGCAGTGGAGACGCGTCCCGGCAAAGTTCCCCGTCAACTCCGGGAGTTGGCAGCGCCGTGGGCTGCCTGCCCAGCGCGCTCGCCCTGCCCCAGCGGAGGCTCGGAGCTGGAGGTGGGTGGGGTCCCCTGGCTGCGGGACTCGGCCGGGCCCCGATCCGCAGCCTCCCTTTCCTCTGCACTATGACCTTCCATGGGGCAGGGCTTCTTGCAGTCTGCAAAGTTGTGATTTTTTCCCCCGTTTTCGCCTTCTCTTTTCTCCTCTGACACAGACTTTTGGGGACAGTGCCCAAACCCGGGAGGCGGTGGCCCGAAAGTGCCCCAGCCTCTGGCAGCTTCTTTTCGGGCGCAGCCAGCCCCAATCTCTGGGAGAATCACCCGAATCTAGGGAAATGATTGTTGATTTAGGGTTGCCGGTTGGGGATTTGAGACTGGGTGACATCCGAGGTGAGTCTCAAGTTCAGTGGGGATGGGTGCGAGGGAATCCTCTCTTCGGGAGAAAAGGGTTCGGGTGGCCAACAGGAAGCTTCTCCGCCATGGAGCTCGGGATCTCCCAAACTGTAAGTTACCGCCACCCAAACCACAGCCACCGCTTTCTCCCCCGCCCCGCCTCCCAGGGAAATCTAGGACCCAAGAGTCCTCTTAACTTGTAGTTTAGTTGGAGAGAAATTGACGTAGATCAGTTGGTAGACTTGTGCGTGCAGACTAGTGGTTGCTATTTCTTTTTGGAAAAGAAAAACTACCATTCTCGCAGGGCCGTTGAATGACACTCCAGTTTCTCACGTTGCTGCTGGTAGAAGACTTGATTTGAAATGAGAACATTGTATTACTAAGAAGCCCAGGCTGTAGTTAAATGTTACCTTCGGGTGTTAGGTAAAGCAACATATCTAAGCACTGCTTTATTTACGGAGGGCGAACTGAAATTAGAAAGTGAACAGTTATACTCTGACCCTGAGGGAAATATGTAAAATTCTTTTTTTTTTTTTTTTTTAATCCTTAGGATTAAATGAAATGGTAGGCACTAGTCTAGATGTTCAGCCAGAGTGTCAGTTTTGTGCTCTTGGTAAAGTTATGTGACATTTCAATGTGTTTAAATGGTAGAACAATGGATTTATGGAGGTTTGCTTGCAAAAAGTTAACACTGTCTTTTTATATCCCACACATACTTTATTTTCAGATGAAAGACAATTGGCCTCTTTACTTGCCTGCTTAGATACTGCTAGTTGGCGAATTTTCGGATATGGCTCTGCACTGTGAAACTGCCAGAATGGGAGGAGGCAGTGTTAGAAGTGGTAACTGTGATCAGAATCATCTGGGATTGTTTTAAACTTGTCATATGGTTTCTTTCCCCGATTCTAGGTGTCCCAGCCCTCTCTTTATCACTGTTTTAATTGAACCCCAGTTGTCAGGGGGTGGATCTAAGGTGAAGCTAATGATAAAATTTAAGCTTTAGATGTAGCTTTCAGTGTTCATTTGCTTAGGCCTCTGGAAATGTTGAGAGTTACTGGGAGTCATAGACCTTCTAGGTGGGAAGGGAATGACAGGTTGCAGCAGACCCATTTCTAAGTTAGCCCTTCTGCAAAATTGCCTAAAGCTATCTCAGAAGAAAGGATTCTAGGTCTGTATGGTTCCAATCAGTTGTTGAGATTCTTTTCCCATTCTAAATATAAATTTGTTTTTCCACCTGATTTTGTATTCTTTTTAAAAGGCTGTAAGCTTCAGACCAGTACACCTAGATCCACCCTGCTTGTTAGTGTTGTATAACTACGTGTATTGGCCACTTAGGAAAAGTTAAGAACCATTTCTATAGAACCACATAGATTAAGGTAAGGATATTATGTTGGTTAAAGCCCAAAAAGAATACTTGGAAAATTTTAAATTAGCTGCCTGCTTATATATCAATAAGTTGAATTTTTTTCAACCATTAACCATAGCCAGTGAGACAAGCATATTTAAGAAAGTCCTCTGCATTTGGCCTCTCTTTCTAATACTTCATTTCTAGCTGGCTCCTCTATACAACCTACCACTGGCCAGCCTGCCCTAGAATGGTATTGAGAATTACTTCTGAAGTATATAACGTTATCCTTTAGTACCTGGGGATCGACCACTTTCATATTCAGTATACATTCACAATTTTAGTCCCTTATTCCCGTAGACAATTTGTGAATATATACCATGACACTGTCCAGGAGCTTTTTAAAAAGTAGGATTTTGACTTACATTTCCTTTTCCCCCTACAGTATATTGCCCATATGTGGCAAATACATATTAAGTATTTTTGCATAAGACTTTGTGCTAAGGATTCTTTGGATAGAAAGAAATGCATTATTCAGTTTTTGCTATCACAGTCTTGGAGTCCAGGTGGAAGATGTGACAGAAACTGTAAATGGCAATATAAATAAAGATGGAAAGTAAAACGAAGCATTGTTCTAAATTTTTACATAGTCCAGTGAGAAAATGATACCAAACCTTAAGAGAGCACAGGGAAGGCAGAGGATATTGACTTAAAAAAACAAGTATAGATGTTGGAAGGTCAGAAAATGCAACCTATGATTCAAAAAAAGGAAAAGAAAAAGGATAGAAATTATAATACTGTGTAAGAATAGTGTTAGAACTGGGGCGAACTGAGATGTGGCTTGCAAAAAATTTAAGTAGAGAAAAGGCAAATTTCTCTACATTGAAAGGAAAAAAATTCTTTTGGGAGAAAATTAATATAGTAAAACAAAATAAATTGGCTTTATTATTAAATAGTATAATATGTAGACGAAATAGCAGTTGAAATAGAGCATTGGTAAATAGGTCACACTGAAACACTGAGATGCTTCTCTGGCACTCAGTAAATGACAGTTCTTAATATTGGCCTTTTTAAAGATATTTAGTACCAAAAAATAAGATCTATATCATCCAGGATAATCAAAGAATTTACAAATGTAATTATCGTCTTCACCACTAGTCATCTTTGAGAATTCATGGAATTCAGGCATGGTGCCCAAAAGTTAGAGATAGGTAAATATTAAAAAAAGAAAAAGAAAAAGAAAAAGAAAGAAAGAAAAAAGAATAGGCAAAAAGGAAGTTCTGGAAAGCATAAAGCAGTAGACTTGCTTTTAATCTCCACAAAGCTATCAAAACTACAGAACTCTTTTGTTAATAAAAACTGTTAAAAGAAAGAGGTGATCGTGTTTTATGAGAATGATGGAAAACTATATATGTTGGATATCTGTCAATTCAGAAATTCAGTGTAATGATGGAGGGACATAATTGTACTATTCAACAGTTCTATCAAATATTAGAAGATATTGGAAGTTTAGTTATCGATTTTTCACAGTTGTTCTCTGAACCATGTCTATGTAGTTCCTTTTGTGTGCTTGTATGGCCCTGATGAAAATCAGAACTCTCTCCAATAATTTAAGTGAAAGGAGTTTAATGCAGGAACTATTTATAGAATTTGGTGCAGGATTCAGGAACAAACAAGGGATACTGAGGCACTTAGAAATGTGCAGTATTAAAAAATCATTAGCACCTAAAGGAAAGAGAGATGGAAATGGTGTTGCTGGACATGGTGACAGCCAGAGCTCTGAAGGGAGCTGTATTTACAAAGAAATGTAGCTAGAAATGTGCAATGGCCAGAAATGTGGCGCCAAAGCAAGGGGGACGTAGGGAGTACTTCCCCGAGCTCCTCTCCTCCCTCTTGGCTCTCCTGCTTGTGGCCCCCACTGGGCGAGCTGCTCAGGTGATGTCATCCATAGGGATCAGCCTCCTTCCAGGACATAGAGAATAGGTGGTGGGAGCTGGCCGTTGTGGGAGAAAAATGAAGAATAACCATCATAATACATAGTACAAAAGTGTGGAGAGTAGCTTTGGGTACCGATAGCCATATTTTACCTCCCATCCCATATGCTCCTCTATAATGTGACCTGCCATCTTCCTATCAAGTGGTGGGATCTCTGCTCTTCTTCCTCAATATAGGTGGGTTTGTGACTGCTTTGATCAATGCAATATGGTGGAAGTGATAACATGCAACTTCCAGGGCTAAATCATAAAAGGAAATGCAGGTGTACTTTGTCCAGTAGGACACTGCTTTTTGAAGCTTTATTTAAGAGATGCATTTTAAGGCCTCTATGTTGTGAGGAAGCCCAGGTTCCCTTGAGAAACCACCTGTAAATGCTCTGGTCAGTTGCCCCAGCCAAAGTCCCAGGCACCATCCAGCATCAACTGGTTGGCTTGTGAATGAAGATGTCTGAATGTTTTCAGTCCCCAGCATTGAGACACCCCAGCCATCAAGTCCTCTAGCTGAGGCCCCACATACAATGGAAAAGAGACAAGCCACTAATGCTGTGTCCTGTCTGAATTCCTGACCCAATAAACGAGTGAGCATAAAAAATTATAAAGACAGTAAAATTATTTTATGCCACTAAGTTTTATGATGGTTTGTTACACAACAGTAGAAACTATAGGCAGTAGTCCGTAACATAATCAGTCTTCCAAATCTTTTGATAGAGTACTGGGATCAAGAACAGACTATGAAATTTAATTGGCATGAATGGGAAGTCCTGAAGAAAGCTCTGGTACTCATTGTAGATAAAAATATAGCCATGACATAAGCTTAGTGGTTAGGAGTACAGACTCTATAGCTATACTGCCTATATTTGAAATTCCGATCCATAGCTTACTAGCTTTGTTTCCTTGGGCAAGTCACTTAAACTCCCAATGCCTCAGATATTTCATCTGTATAATGAGGGAAAATAAGAAATATGAGGATTAGATGATTTACGATATGTAAAGAGCTTATAAGTAGTGCCTGGCTCTTAGTAAACACTGCTGAGTGTGGATCAGGACCATAGGGCCCTGCTGTCCAAGACTACCTGCAGTGATGGGTACATTCTAAATCTTCCTGTCTAATGTGGCAGCCACTGGCCACACGTGACTTTTGAGCACTTGAAATGTGCTAGTGCATCTGAGGAACTGACCTTTTAATTCTCTTTAATTAATCTGCACTTT